GATGCCATTGACCTCCAGGATCTCGTCGCTCACCGCCAGCAGCCCCGTGCTCTCGGCCAAGCCGCCCTTCACCAGGCGGGAGATGAAGATGCCAGGCACCTTCTCGACGCCCTGCGGGGCCACGCGCACGCTGACGCCATCGCGGATGTAGAAGCCCAGCGGCTTGTCGGAGCCGTGCTTGTGGAGCCGCACGCGGCGGTGGGTCTCGGGCAGGATGTCCACATCGATGATGGAGGAGATCTGGCGGAAGTCCTGGGGCATGCCGATGAGGAGGTGAGGCTTGGCCCGGTAGTGCGCGGGGCGCAGCAGCCCCTTCTTCTTCCGCTGCAAGGAGTTTGAGGCGAAGACGCTGGCATCGGACTCTGCTGTAGGGAGCAAGGGAGGACACGGGTCAGGCACCGCAGCTTCCCAGGGATGCAACCATGTGCCCTTGGCCCCAGGTGTTAGAGGAGATGTCGGGAGAGGTGCCTTGCTCACGGGTGTCACTGGCTTTTCCTCCCCAGAGCATCACCCCGGCTTTTCCTTCAGCCTGTCTCCACCGGGCCCATCTCCTGGGATTACCCAGCGTACACGAGGCTGGGATTAAGTGGGATCCAGGCAGTGATTCAGCCTTAATCACACTTTAAGCCAAACACTGCAGCTTAACACTAGAGCTGCCAGCCCTGCCAGCCTGAGAGCCGTGGCCGTGCCCAAGTTTGGGGAGAGGGAGCCCCCCCAGCATGAGGTTCCCCCTGTGTGAGGCGGTGCTGCAGGAGCAGCTGGCTCCCTGAGGGTGAGTCTGACCCCATGGGACAGCACCGGAGTCCCCTGTCCCTGCTGGAGCACAAGATGGGGATGGCCACAGCTGTGTCCTGCAGGGCCCTGCCATCCCCAAAGACGGAGACTCCCCACCGCCCAGAGACCCATCCCAGGGCTGCAGCATCCCTGGGGCCCCTGAACATTTGCACCCTTGTCTCTTACTCCACCATCTGGCACTACCACACAGGGTTTGACTCCATCCTCCTTGACCCTGCCCTGGGGCTGCTCCATGGGGCCCAGCTCCACCATGTTCCCTCCTTGGCTGCATCCACCAGATGCTGGAAGCATCCCCTGGGCCCTCTCTGGTTTCTCCCCATCTCTTTCCACAGGGGAGCCCAGATCTGGACGCTGCATCACCAACACATTCCTCACAGCGTCCCCCAGCAGCACCCAGACCCTGCTCCAGCTGCAGGGGTGCTGGGGGTGCCCCCAAGCCCAGGGGACGCAGGGTTTCTCCCTAGCCAAGCCAGGCTGCCAGGGCTTCTGCATTATAAATATCTCCCTGCACACACAACCTGGCGTATTTTTAGCTCAGGGAAGGGCGGTGGAGGCTTTCCCACAGCTATTTCAGCACACAGCTCCTCTCTGAGGGGCGCAGAGCGGCTGGGCCAGGCAGATCCAGCATCCATGGACGAGCCCACCAGCAGCCCTGGTGATGTGCTGGGCTTTCCCCTGCCCTTCCCGTGTGCTGAGCCCAGCCAAGGAGGGCCAGCACCACCGTCCCCAGCCAGGCTGCCCCATGGGGATGGCTTCACATGATGGGGTGACGGCACAGAGAGGAACCAAGTCACAACCTTTGCTTTTAGATCCCCTGTGGCAGGACTGGCTGCCACGGAGCCCACCGAGGGGTGCACACCTATGTACACACACCTGTGCATGGCTCCCCACGCCTGGGTGCTAGAGAGCCTCTGCAGCCACATTCCTCACCATCCCGGACTGGTTCGACAACAGCCCAGCCCTGGGATGACCTGGATCCATTTTAAATCAGCTGTGACTCACCCCGGGCTTGCTCCTGGCCCTGCGGCCCCTCTCCCATGGGCACAGCTGAGTGCTGGGGCTTCCTGGCGCTGCCTCCTTGCCCTCCTTATCAGGCTGCCCACAGCACCAGAGCTGTGACTGCCTGCTCCCCACACTGTGCCAGCTCAGCATGGTCACCACGGGCCCTCATAGGCTCTTCCCAGCAGCAGACGAGGTAGCTCTGGGAGCAGAAGCGATGCTCCCACAGCAGCCCCAGTGTCACAGCCTGGGTCCAGGCATTGGTCCAGGGACAGAGGATGGTTCAGTGCCGGCAGTGGCAGCCCCCGAGCACACCACGAGCTCTGGCTCCCTCCTGCCCACAAGTCTGGATCCCTGCTGCTGGCCTCCACACCACATGACCCCTGAGGGAACACATGTACAGGGCATCCTGTACCACCTTGATGCAGGAGCCCAGGAATCTGGCACAGCAGCCAGGGCCACCAGCATCACCCCTTGCCCAGGGACTTCGTACCAGTAACATGAGCTGGGAACACAGAGTTGCACTGGGGGAACTGGGGCTTTTAGATCAGGCTCTGGCTATGCACACTGTTGCTTGATGGTTAGAAAGCCTCTGTGCTACTAAACCAAGCAGAAGTGGACAGGCTCGTCTCCATGTCACTGGTGAAGAGATGTACCTGGGGTGTTTGTCGTCCTTGCTCGGACGCTGCTATCAGGGTGATTTCATGCTGCTGCGTGAGGAAGCTGCTCTCTGGGAACACAGTGCTAAGGTCAGGGTGAGCCCCTGGGCTGCTGGGGAGGAGAGGAGCCTCCTCCCACCACCAGAAACTCAGCAGCACCCAGCACCCTGAGAGAGCTGCCAAAATGATGGCTGCCACCACCTCAGGGCAGGAAGCCGGATGGGGCTCCCAGCTCACGGGAGCAACACAATGTTTTCCGGGAGCCCACGCAAGCCCTGCTAGAAAAACACGACTTCAAAGGGGTGAATCGCAAGGATTTGCCTTTGCTGGTTGGAGCACACAGGGCCGGGCTGGGATGGGTGCCTTTGCCATGGGGAAGGGCTGCCAAAGAGAGCCTGCGTGGGTGCCATGGCCCCAGTGGGGCTCTGGGAGCCTCCCAGTGTTGTCACCTCCACTGGCACAGCCCAAACATGGAAACAACGATACCACAAGATGTGGCTCATCTCCCTTGATGGGGAGGATGAATCTGGTGTCCTTCTCTGGCTCCTGCTTACCCTTCTTCTGGATGATGACCCTGAGGAGAGGGTTGGCGGAGGACAGGGCTTTGTGGTAGTTGTCATCGTTGTTGATGGGCAGGAGGTCGCCATGGACGTCCGTGTAGCCCAGGAGCACGTCCACGCGTGGGATCTGATGCACTGTCTGCAGCAGGCGGTAGAAGTCCTGGAAGCTGCCCGTGCTGGAGCGCTTCATGCTGAAGCGGCGAAATTCGGCATCGAACTGCAGAGGAGGAAGAGGAAGAGGAGGAAGAGGGTGAGGCTGGACAGGACTGGCTCCAGCCAGTGGGATGGATGCAGACAGGGCACCATGTGGAGCTGCCCCGGAGCAGGCAGGGCCAGGCACTGCCAGCTCCAGAGCCCTAGCAGCACCAAGGCAGCGGCACCCATCAGACAGAGCCCATCCCAAAAGGAAAATAAAAGGATCAGAGCTGTTCTCCTGCCCAAACACCAAAGCAACGAGGCCGAGAGGTGCCCATGTGGTGGAGGAAGGACCCTCCAGTTGTCCCACAGCCACAGCGGGCACCATGCTGCCGGGAGGCCCTTCCCTGCGATCTGGGCGCCGCCAGAGCACCCGGTGAGCAACAGCGTTAATTATTGCCTCCTTCTGTCACAGCGAGGGGGAAGCCAATTAAGAACAGCCTGAGGAACGCTGCGGGGATTGCACTGCCGGAGGGGGATTGCCCGATCCTGGGGCAGGCAGAGGCCGGGGCACCCCAGAAAGGAGGGCACCGCCCCGCCCC